GATTCTCTTGGCTCCAGTTCCTCTGCTCTTAACTGCCAGGCCAGAGCACACAGCTTTCTTTTTATTTTATCAGATCTAATCACTGTGTGTATTCTGATATCCTTTGACAACTGACAAAAATTATACCTTCAGTAAAACCCATCTATCCACAGAAATTTTAAAAGTTTACAAAAATGTTGACTTTGAACAGATGTGATTATTTAAAAAAAAGTCAGCAGGACTGAAGATGCAATCTAATTGATCAATGGTAATTCAAAGTATGATAAATCTTTGATTACACACTGGGACATGTTCTTCACATCTACATGTCTATGAAAACAGAGAAGACAAATGGGATTTAAAAAAAAAAACTTTAATGTAGTCTCATTAATATACTTGAGGAATATAGAAAAGGTAACAGTTTACATGACGCAAGTCACTTCAACCCAAAAGCTGTACTGAACTACCCATCAAATCATTTGGTGACTCTTTTTCTGAAAAGACTGTCTTCGAAAAACAAAGATATATTCCCCTATTTGAACTGGTTTTGATCTTACACAACTTAACATTGTTTATAATCCTTGGAAAAATTTTAAATTTACTTTAACATCAGCTTTTCTGTTATTTCCTGAAGAGTGCCATATTCAAGCGGTCTACTCCCTGATATGGTGCAGTTCTGACTGAAAGACGGTTTTCTAAAAGCTCTTACTGTCTTTTAACTTCAATTTATATTCATTTATAAATGGCTTGAAAAAATTACTTAACACAAAATGGCCCAAAGATTAAGCCTACCTAGGTGCAAGATATTGTGACCACATCTCCTGCCTGCACCTTGTTCAGGGACTTCATCCTTTGCAGGAACCTGTGGCTCGTATGCAGTTCTGATGTTTTCCAACTCCCCCAGAATTCTCTTTGACTACTAGGAGGGAGAAAAGGAAACTTTGTCTGTTCCTCTTTCTCCCCCACCCATTCTCAGGTATACTGGCTGCTGCAAGAGGTGTGAGTGTCTCCAGTATTCTACACCCCCTTGGCCTTCTACCTTCACATAAGCCAGTAGGGATGTAAAAGGTTAACCGGTAAGCATTAGTCTGACCAGTTAACCTGCCTGAACCGTTAACCCCGCCCGGGCCTGCCAGCCCAGTTGCCCCATTGCAGCAGGCCCCACCACCCAGCCCTGGGCCCCGCTGGCCAGCAGGATCGGCCCCCGCAGCTTAATCGGTTAACCATTTAAACATTTTAAATGGTATTTACATCCCTAAAAGCCAGAGGTATCTGCTACTCGACACTGCATGCCCAGCTTCTGTTTTTGACCTTCTTCCTCAGGAACTTATTACAGTGTTGATGCTGCTACTCATAGCGTTGTCTATCAGCTGCAGAGTTGAAACTAGCAAGATTCTTGTCAGTTTCACTGCTTCCCACAGGGTTCTGCATAGCCACAGTGAAAACTGTCAAGACTCTGCTCGAATATTCTTGTGTTCTCTCTCATTGTTTTGTCAAACTACAACAGAATAAAAATTGGCCAATGTCTTCAGCCTTTGGAAGACTGCACTGTGATGATCTGATTTATATTTGGCTCCAGTCTGGAAGGTTATCTTCACAACCATAAGGGCTGAAGAATTCCTTTCTTTTAAATTTGAAGTTTAGATTCTGCGGAGATTAATAGTATTCCCCTGAGAAAGCCTCTGCTCTACGAGCAAATGGATTTTGCAATCTGTTCAGATATATACTAGTTAAAAATGATAAACCCTTTTTTCCCCTTCATATTTTTATTTTTACTGTTTTATTCACTAAGTGACACCACAATTTTCCTCTTAGTTTTTTCCCCCCTAAAGTCACTAACTATTTTATTTGCACATAAATACCATTTTTATTCAATTTATTTTGCCTGGAAGTCATGACTACCTGCTTCAAACACTAGTTTTGAAACAACTATAAGCTATAGAATTACGATCCTCAATCTTGACAGAACTGATTCAGCCCTTATCTTTCTGAGATAGACTGAGTTGTATACACTTCACTATTAGCTCAAACCTTAAAAACAGGGGTACCCCCTCATCTCCCCACAGCCATTAAAATCTTATGCACTTTTTAGAAGCATAGGATAACCCCTCAGTATCCTTGGCCAACAGGATCCCCTCCTCACCCCAATGAACATTTCACTGGCTGTTAGCTAGATTTCCAGTGGTGGATGAAGGGACGAAGAGACAGCTTGACATATCTAGGACCTGATGCTACAAAGTACTTAGCTCACTGACTCCCATAAAAGTAGGAGGCATTCAGCACATCACAAAGGGTGATCAGCACCTCAGGATCAGGCTCACAGTTTGTAAAGGGCTTCAAGATTCATATAGGATGAAAGTGATATATTTTCCTGGTTTTACTTTTGCACACATAAGTATTAATGGGTATTAATGTTAACTACAACACATGCATAGATGAAAATATTCCCCTAAATCAGAATTCTTTATAATGGCATCTTAAATATGCAAAGCAGCACAATGCACACAAAAAAACCCACTAAGCTCTTACAACGAATATCTAGTAGTCTGATAAGGAGCTTCATACAACTTCTGCAAAAAGGATGAAAGGTATTTCTATTCTAATCTATTCTCTTTAGCTCTGATTCTACAATTAGATCAGTGCAGGTGGACTTTGATGACTGGACAGTGCCAAAGTAGGGCTGTGCATGGGTTCAAGGGTCCATCTGTGTGGATAAGATTGCAGAATCAGGGCCTAAGTGCTCGTGCAATTCCCTTGCAAGATCTCTGTAGTTAATGTCTTAGTTAATTTGCAATTACGTAGAATTTTTGCACATGATCATCATCATCCAGTAAGGTATATACTGTTTTAGTGTCACACTAAGGCTAAACTTTCTTTTTATTAAATGAGCAATGCAATGGTTTGGTTTTGGTAGGACTCATTTATGGAAATTATTTAATGGAAAGTGATGGGGCTAACAATTGTGAGGGTCTGTCTAAGAGAGATTTACGATACAACTTTGTCTTCAATGCAGATAAAGTGTTAGTACAGGTTTGTAGAGTTGGACCCTAACAATACCACTCATATTGGCTTCAACTGGATTAACCATTTGAGTAAGGGTCTGAGGGGGTATTGGGGCCTTTGGTGCTACTGTGAACCGAGGTAGAGGAAAGCAAAACCTCTTTCAAGTTTTTTGTTTTTTGTTTTTTTTTTTTAATATACTCACTGACTGATTGATTCAACTCCGGTCTTATTTCCACCACGGTCTGCATCTTCATCAGTATCAGAGTCAGCTCCAGTCTCACCTTGATGTATAAAATTTCGGCATATGAGATTATAGCCAAGTGTTGCTTCCTACCTGCTTGGAGTTATTTTCAAAACTTAATTTTACCCAAAGTCAACAGTGTAGTTTTTCCAGTTGAAGATGTTCTAAAATTACATTTACCCAAAAGAAAAAGCAATTTCTGAAATTGCTGCTGCCCACAAGCTGAGACTAGTTTGAACTATCCTTTGATTATCCATTAACGTATAAGAAAATCCAGTTGGTTAGGGGCAATTCCAGCTTTGTTACTGTATTAAGGGAAAAGGGCAATGAAAGGCAGAGAATCTGCATCACGTAAGCCCCACAGTGAGCTACACAAGAGGGGTTATAGGTGGACCACCCACTCAGAGGACCTCTGCATCTCCTGCAACCAAAGGGGAGCTCAACATTGGCACAGAAAAGTTAGCAATAAACAAGCCAATATTGAAGGGAATTTGGCAGACAGACCAGAGAAGGTACCACTGGATACCATGTGAATACATGGATCTAGTAGCTGAAAGTCCCCAAGTAGGGACTGCAAAAGAGGCTGCAGACACTATTCCAGCTCATGGGTTCGAATGCAGCCACAGAGCAGCTACACGTCAACCCCGGGGCCTGTCATGCAGCACACCCATATGAAACTCAATTACAACACACTAAACTGTGGCTTGCCCCCAGTGCTTGTACAAGAAAATATGACACCGCATTACTTCCCAGCACAGGCTACATAAGCGTGTCACAGCAGGGGACAGAACAGCCTACATGGGATTGCTACACACCTTGATGCATTGGGTGGGAGATTAGGTAGAACTATGACTCTACCCCAATGCATCAGCCAGCACAGCTGAGCTGGTACAGCAGGGGATGTAATCTGCTACTCATACATAACAGCAGCAAATTATTTCCCTCCGTAGCACGTGGGGATCCAAGGAAAGAAGTGTGGCTATTAATAGCCAACTCCCTTCCTGGTCTGTTCCTGGGGCAGCACCGTACTGCCCTTTTCTATGGGCTGAGAGAAGATTCTCATTCTAACCCTATGACTCTATACAACAGCCATGAATTTTGCTTTAATAGAACAACAATCTAGAGCTGGTCAGAAAAAGGGATGTTTTCCTGCAGAAAATTTAGATGAAAATAAAAATCTGTTTTTCTTTAAAAAAATTTCCATGGAAAAATTATACTTTTTGTTGAAAGTCTGATAACTGAAAACTTTAGGGTGAAAAATTTCTATTGAGAAAAATCAAAATTAAATATTTTGTGTTGGATCATTTCAACTTTAAACTGTCCATACAGGAAAATCGCAGGGGCTCAGGAGATGGCAGTTTAATGTCAAATCAACACAAAAAAAAAGTTTGGGAGTTTTTTGACAAAAAGCAGTTTTCCATAGAAAGACACTTTGCATGAAAAAGTTTGTTTTGTCAAAAACCTTATTTTCCATCAAAAATAGTTTAGACAAAGTTTTTGAGCAACCCTAGGTATATCACAGCAGATGACATTAGATAAGTTAATACCTGTTGATAGAAAAATGTGGTTAAGAGCTATTGTCTTATTACATATATTTTGGTTTATGTAGAAAAATATAGTTAGCCAGATAATTTTAACTTTTTACAGTACTAGAAGTTTATTCCTTTCAAGTTATTTATTTTAAGAAATTTCTGAGGATGCAGTGGTTTGATGCAGAAAAGGCCCATCTTTAAGGTAGATTCCTTTAACTGGGCACTGTTGTACAATTAAAGATCAAAAACTGCAGAATTTATCATAAGAGAAAATAAAGAGCTAGTTCTTACCTTCAAGAATCTTCAGGAGTTTTTTCTCAGATAGAAGTTCTAACTGATCCAGGCAAAGTCTTTTGATTTCCTCCATGGAACAATTCTAAGAAGATTGAGGCAATAAATTAAAACAAAAAAATCCACATTCATAATCCACATATCTGAGGAGAAGCATATATGCAAATCACAATCAACCCTCCACTTCTATCAAAAATTAAACAACTGTTGTCTTTAGAGTGAAAGAATCTGAAATCATTAAGAGATGCAGATGAATCAAATCTGGAAAAAAAAAAAACCCCTCTCTTCATCACACCTCAAAGGGCTTTTGAATTCTTGCTGAGACCTGATGATCTTCTCTATCCTCTTTGATCCGGACAACCACCTTTGGAAGATGAACTGCAAATACAACATGAACGTTCCAGCCATTTCAGCTCTACCTGCTGCATGTTCTCATTAACCAAACTAGCAGGGATATTATGTACATCACTCAAAGTTTCAGTTCCTCTCGTATAGTTCATACAACATCCAGCTCAGACAGCAGCTCCTTTTTTGCTGTGATGCACCTTCCTGAGATATCACAGCCATCAGATAACTACAAAGGAGCAATAAGACGTGTGTGTGTGTGTGTGTAGTAAAGTTAAGTATTTAACAACAATAAAAAAATTAAAACTGACAAATACAAAGATACAATTTCTGAAAAACTACACAATATTAAGTGTCTGTTTAGATTCTATGGTGGTTGTGACATCTGAACAAAGTGCAAGCTAGTGAGTCATTATGTAGGAGAAGCTGGTAATATGAGCCATGAGCATAAACCATGCTTACTCCACAAGCTCTGTCCCTAACTAGTAGCTGAACCACAAAGAAGTTTAAATTAGAGCCAACAGAGCTGCACCTTCTAGCTCAGGCAGTAAAGTCTTATGTTCAGCGGTCCTGGGTTCAATTCCTGTTGCCAGTGACCTACCCAGGGGCATCAAGTTATGTAAGCAAGATAGGATGACAAGGATCTGAAAAGTGATTTTAAAAGAAGAGGATATAGGTAAAATGTACTTAACACTCTTCATGGGTAGTTAAATGAAGCATTTAGCCCATATTACTGAAGTGCATGGAATTTCTAGCTCTTTTGTGTTTCTGAATGCTAGCTACCATATTTCCTGGTAAGGATAAAAGTCCCTTTAGAATAATCTTTGTTATTTTCAGTCACAGATTATTAGAACTTCAGGCGCAGAACAGGCTTAGACACAGTTTTGTTACTGTACTTCAATCCCTGTGGCAACAAACAGCCCTGCAAGGATGACATGAGGTATGTTTTTTTGTGTTTATCTATCCTTTTGTTTTAAACTCATTACCTTAAACTTGCTCAATGCCTCAGACTGGAAAGCTGTTCCTTTAACCTTTTTAGGTCACATTACAAGATGCACACTCCCAGAATAATATTGTTGTTTTTTAAAGGAAACCTACTATCAATCACTTGGCTAATCTAACCCTAGATAACAACAGACATTTCAATTCTAGGGTTTTCTTTAGCAGAGGCTGCTAGTCTTATCAAATTGTATGTTTTTATTTTCTTTAGTTTAAACAGGAATAACATTCCTCCAGGGTGAACATTCCAAATTCATTTTCACTTGTGACCTGGAGGACTGGAGCTCAAGCAGATGACATAAACCAGGCACTCATTCTACAGAATGTTCTAATAATAAATTAGAGTCAGGTCTTACTGTAGCAGCTATGGTATGACAAAATTATGCTCTATTACTGTTTGTTTTCCTTCCATACCATAGAAGAGTTTATCATATTACAGAGAAAGAGAAACATTTTTATATTTCTAAAACTATTTAAATCAAATCTCATTGAGTCAGCTCAATATTAAGAAGTCTATACTCAAAGCAGCTCTTCAATCCAACTATGAAATGCTGTCATTTCTATATACCACAGTGATGAGCACGGTATCAATACTTAAAAAATTAAAAGTACAGCAATGTCTTAACAATGCATAGAAATACTATGCAACAGTTTAAGACATGAAGTGAATAACACATCGAATTGGAATTCTAGGAGGAATTTAGCAGAACAGAATAAAATTAGTGCATTTGACTAATTGGGGTTAACAATGCCTTCTTAAAAATACTGCCATAGGATCTTTAAATGACAAGTTTCACCACGGTTTCATGTCTCATCTTTGTGAAGACTCTGAATAAGAGTGAAAAAAATAAAAACAGAGGACTGTACCCTAGTGGAAAATTATTAAATTTAAAATTTCATATAACTGTTGCACAAAAGGTATGTAGGCTGCTGTAATACACATGTTGGAAATCCACTGGACTGACCTGAGGCAAACAGAGCTGTTCAGCCCTGCATATACTGAAGAGTTACGTATATTTCAATACCTTCAAAACATCAGGCAGCATTTTCTGCAGTTTCTTCTCCCCTATGACACAGAAGCACTGATGAAGCATTTCTTTTTTGTCTGCAATGTAGAAACTAACTGGTTTTAGAGACACACTGAGGTCTAGTCCACCATCTTCTATGTCGCTGTGCTCTTCAGCTAATTCCTCTTTTTCTGCAGATGGCACAGTACATTTTATTTCCTAAAATTAAAAGATATTAAAACGCTTGGAAAAATACAATTAATGGAAATTGTCTCTTTAATAAGTCAAGAAAGGAGGAAAGCTTTTACAACGGGGTGTCTGTCTCAACAATATGGTTCTTACTATAAAATGTTTAAAAGGATATTACAAATGAACATCTTGTATTTCTGGAATGTTATGATCTTTAAGTGCTTTACATTGTAAGATGGAGAAAGTTACATGAATGCTCTTCAAATGTGTAGGCCAAACATTAATATCCCTCTCAAAAAGCTGGCTATTTTGGCTCATCCTAGCAGTCTGAAAGACCATAAAGCAAAGAGCTACTTCGCCACATAATCTGAATAATATATTTGGAAAAAAACAAAACAAAACTTTGCCCACTTGGCTATAACTGGGCTGCTGTATTCCCTGAAATGAATGGAAAACAAGGGGAGAGATGTTTGGCAGCACAAAAAACATGTTCCTCTGGTATGTCTGATGCAGTTAATCACAATTAGCCTTTGTAAGACTACTGCTAATGACAAATGTTTTGCTGAAACAACAGTTTGTGCCCAGGATCTTGAGAACCAAATGGGGTAAATGTTATGACAAGAACATGTATTGGGCAGGGCGATGGGGTACAGGAAAGACTTTAGAGATTCCCCAGAAATTTATTTTCATGTAGCCCTCCTTACCATCAAACATTAAAAATTAGCTAGTAAGTGTGAAACTGTTTTCCTATAATGCAATTCTGTAGATACTAATATACAAATTTTGGTCACCTCTAAAACTTGTCCCCCATCTAATTTCCCATGGGAAAAGTTATGCAGCTCACCAATACTCAGACTAGCACCACACAGTTTCCGCACTTTATTCCTTCAGCAGGTTTCTATCTGTTTGCCTTTTCTCTACTCTACATTTGTCTCTGTTGCTTTCTATTTTGGTGTTGTGTGTAAAACGCTTCTGAGCTTGAGGCAGGAGTTACTTTTCCTGACTCGAAGGAGTCATGTTCTTTCTGAATCCAGCACTTCACAGTGGCTTTAACAGGACACTGACTGCCGGTGCACTAAAGGGAACGGACTGATGTAGCTGCTTCAGAGGAGCTGGCAAGGTAGGGCCACCCCACGGGGAGTGGGAGCAATGCCAGTGGGTCGGGCTTTAGCAGAAGCCCGTGGGGGAGACGCTTTCACGCTGGGTGGGTTGGAGGACGGGGGCGCCTCTCTTGGCCATGTCCAGCCGGGTGGGCGCTCTGCTCTAGCCCACGCAGGAGTTAGGCGGGGCAGCCCCACCGCCCGGGCCACGCAGGGGGTCAGACTAGTCGATCTCACCGGGTCCTTCTGGCCTCGGGCTCCAGGAACCAGACCGAGCAGCCGCCTAGCCGGTACCGCGGCCCTCCCGGCTCAAAGCCACCCTAGCGCTCAGCGCCACAGGCCCTGCCTCCCCCGCGGGAGCACCGCCGCTTCCGCGCGCCCGGCCAGGCCCCAGCCCCTGGCCACGCTGGGGGACGTTACCTCCAAGAGGCTGTAGCTGGACTCGGTACTTCGCCGCTTCCCCTCGGTGCCCCCCGCGCCCGAGCCCCCGTCTAGGCCGCTGGAACGAGAGCGGCGCCGCTTCTTTTCCTTGGAGGATTTGCGGCCCGGCATCGGCCCGGCCTCGCGGCGGTTGGAGCCGCGTTCCGTCCCCCACCAACGGTCACATCCCCCGAGTCACCGACAGAACATCCACCCGCAACCGTCGCGGGTTGGTTCCATCACCACGACAACGGGCTCCCGGCGGCGCCGTGGTGACGTCAGAGCCGGGGCAGGTGGACTTCCGGCGCTTAGTGGTGTTGGGGATTTCCGCTGCAAGTACTTCCGGTGCTGGGAGGCGTGGCGGATCCGCCTGCTGTGTGTTCCTCCTGTGACCCGCCTGCAGCGAGGAGCCCTGGTCAAGGCTGCCCAGCATTTCCCCCAGGCCTGCTGCAGGCTTCCCGCGAGCCGCCCACTGCCTGGCCCAGGGCAGACGGGCAGTGTGTGATCGGAGGCTGCAGGCGGCTGGGGGAGCGTGGAGGGAAGCTAGGGGAGTGGTTAGCAGCAGGAGGGATGGCGTGGGAAGCATTCTGGGAGTCGGGTATCCGGCAGAGCAGTAGGGTGTATGCTCACATCTCCGCCTGGCTGTCCAACTGCTAGACCGGCTTGTTTCCCAGCAGGAAGTTAGGACCGGCTGCCTCAGTGAGCATCTTTCCACCTTCTTTTAGGGAAGATGCAGTTGATTTCGTAGTCTGACAAATAGCAGATTAAGTCAAATTCTGCAACTGAACTGTTTGGTGCTTCTTTATTGTGCTCCAGAGATCTGAGTTGCCATAAGGTCGAGGGAACCACTGCAAAGGGCAGAGATGGATGAATGGATGGGAGAATGTTCCTTAATCAATTATATGGAAACGGGAACAATTTCAGAATAATCATCTAGGGTGCCTGATAAGGTTCTGACTTGCCTGACAAAGCAGCATGTTGAGGGAGCCTGCATGGGTAATGTTAGGAGAGGGAGGGAAACTTCACAGATGAACAACAACAATCGGATATCTGATAATTGAATGTAGTATTTGCATATTTAAAATTTCTTTCTGTGGAGCAGCCTTCAAAAAAAAAAAGAAATCTCAGGTGGAATAAGCACATTGCCTGGATGTTTTTATAAGAAAATAGTTAATATTGGCAAGTAAATGGTTGTGATTAATGTAGGATAAATATGAAATTAACAGATTAAATCTAGCTTAAGTTTGGTAAAGGAAATGTGTGTGTTGTGAAGAAAGGCCCTGACTAGCAAGAAGAAGGACGACCTTGAAAATGAGTAAAGCCAGAAGGAATGAAGTAGACAGGATGTCTGGTTCAAAGAATAACTAATGAGATAAGGGGAAGTTTCTAAAAAGAAGCCCTCTGACCGATAGGGGTGGCTGCATATGGTTTTAAATAAGACAAAAGGAGTATGTCTTAAAAGGAGCCAGTATAAACCTTCCCACCCGAAATGCCAGTGTTGTCTTAAAAGTAAAGTCTATGTGAACCAAGGTACAATGGAAAAATTGTTGATCAGCAAGAAG